AAAAAAGAGAGAAGATGTCCATTTGAAAACGTTCCGCATGGAATAACGGCCAGGGTAATTTAATTTTTTCAAAAAATCCAAAAACACGTCAGTTTTGTTTATGAGGGGGACACATTTGCCTCAAAAATGATTGCAAAATATTCAGCCCTTTAAGCGGGGGTGTAATCCCCCACTTTTTTTTTCAAATGGAAAGGGGGATCAAGTGGCGCCGCAATGAAAATACCTTTCTAATCTCTATATTTCCCCTCTTCGTTTTGAAAATCGGTAGAACTAATCATACAGAAAATATGAAGGATTGAAATTTGAAACAGTTCTTATTTAAGCATTTATAGAGTAAATTGATAATTAAGAACTAAAATTCGGACGACATTTGGCTGTTTTTTCCATTATTTCTAGATTTTAGCATTTTTCCTTGCCACATCCTCAGGATGCCACGTTGAACGAGACAGTGCATTAGTTGCAAGATAAGTTTTTGACGTTGAAAGTCTTCTCAATACGTTAAAGTGAACCCACAATAGAATTCAATCAAAATACGAGCGCACGTTAGGAAGGACGCGTTCAAATGTCTGCGAGGATTTTTCGTGTGTGGCACTCGTGACAAAACCCGGTGTTGTCGCTAGACCCAGACCGGGAAGACAGTGCTGCCGATTAACTACAAACCGTTAAAAGAAAGTACAACCATCCGAAAACCACACATTAATAGTTCACTCATAGCTTCAAAAATTGCATATCGATCAATAATCGTCTTCGATGAGAAAAAACTACTTGATACAAACTGAAATTTTACTGTACGGAGTGACCTAACATTGTGTTTTTTTAAATACTCCTTTGGAACTTGTAGATTCCGCCGGTCTTATGGTAATTTTCGTGTACCAGAATAACGTCCATGGCAACTTGGCCCAATACAAATACCTCCAAAGCTTCATTTACTACAGGATTTCCCTTTGCCTCTTTTTATTCATTACGGAACCAGTTTCGCGAAAATTTTGCTACTAAATGGCGAGCAATTTTGCCAAAAAGGTGTTTGTCAGGATGACGTTCATTGAATATCTGCGAAACCCGATTTGCAAACATTGAAAAATAAGACAAAACAGCAAATTGGTCTAAAGAATTTATCCTTATCATTATTTACATACGCTGATAAAAGTTTAAAATACCACGGAATTTTCAAAATTTTTTTTATTTAATATTTAATATTTGAACAGTTTACAGAAAACGAAGCAGGAAAGTATAAAGAATAGCTTATTGCGGTACCCATGGGCACCAGACTCTCCACAAAAAAATGAGGTATGACACTCCCGCTTAGAGGTTGAAGATTTGACATATAATTTTTGGGACAAAGTTGCTCCGCCTCACAAACACAATTGACGTGTTTTTGAATTGTTTCTGAAAAAAAAATTACTGGCCGTTATCTGCGGAAGGTTTTCGATGGGCCACCTGTATATAAATCCGTAATGCATCATCTCTTTTGTTTTTTAAACCGTTTTTTGGTTTTATTTCAAAAATAAAATCATATTTCAATATTATTGGTTTGGCGAAACGATGAACGACAAAACGGACGCCTGTGCCGGTGCGTATGAACTCGACTTCAGATTTTTGAGGCTTGTAAAACTCTTGCCAAATCATAGGTTATAATTGTGTCAACTTATGCTCAATAGAAATGTATAAATACTTTGCATTTTGCATTCTTGGACTGTGTTATTACTGTGTTCGTGTTTTTAAAATAAATGGAAGGAAACTCGAGAAATTAAGGTTTGACCCAGACCATAGTTTACAGTGAATATTCGGTGCCAAGAGACAGCTTGCCAGAGATTATGGCCAGAAAGTTGTATTAGCCACCAATAAGTTGCCACCATTAAAGTTTGTGTACCATCTCGTATATAGTACCAAAAACTGAAGTATCTGTAATAGCAGCCCACAGAGTAGGTTAATAATAAATTTTAGTAACTGCGGGAAGATAATGGCCAAAGATACTGGTTTACAAAAATTAGATTAATCTTTTAATTTCAATCTAAATCATTTTTTAAATAAACCAAAAAAAAATATTATTAAAAAAATAATGTGTTTTATTTATGTTGTGTTTTATTTATTATTTTTTTATTTTTTATTTCCGGTATTTCCGTATAAAGTGCCGCCATATTGAAAATATTGATAATCGATAGATCTCATTGTGAAAAAACGTACGACAACGTACGACAACGTACTTCAATCTAATAAATCATTTAATGATGTAAATAAGAGGAAATTTCTCACATGGGTGGTCAAATTTTATAGTTTTCATTATATCAAACAGCCTCTGAGAAATGTTTTCAACTCAAAATGCTTTATTATGTTTGATCTATACTTCATTAAAAAGCGGTCTTCAAATACATCAACTGTGAATTTTGTCTAATTTGCAAAAAATCGAATCTTCGAAACTGAAAATCTTGTACCCACATTTAAAAGCCTTTGATCATGAATGTTGGCAAAAATTGTTTCATTATTTCACTAAATTTTTTTTATAAAAAATTATTTATATTTAAATTTGATGAGTTTTGCACTGAAAAAACATTCAGAGGCTGTCTGATATAATAAAAACTACTAGAATTTGACCACCATATGTGAGAAATTTCCTCTTTTTTACATCATTAAATTATTATTAAGATTAAATATTTATGCATTAAAGTTTACAGAAAAAATAAGATTTATATAGTCGAAAAAAGTCCGATAGAAAAATAGAAAAATAGTATTCTATTTTTCACATCTTTAATTACATTTTGTTTAAATAAATTATATTTTTATACTATAAAATACTTTTTTTTTTTTTTTTTCTAATTTCCTACGAACTGATATATGTCGAGCAATCTATTAAATTACAGAGATTATACAGAAAGTCCCACAGACTTCAGACATTTAGGAAATCAAGATCCATTTAGGCGCGTGTGTCCAAATGACAAGTTTATCAAAATGAAAGTTTTTTGTTTAGAAACATGAAGTTTAATTTCACCTAAACTCTCTCGGTGCAATGATTCTTTTATGGGGTACATAAAATCTAAAATTTGCGGCCATGAAGAAATTCAAAACTTGGAGCAGTTAAGGCAGGAAATATTTAATGCCTTTGACACTGTCACCCCTGATTTGTTATCCAATGTGAGGATGGGATTTTATGATCGTTTTGGTTTAATGTCAAAGGAGGCATCTTTTGAAACAATTTTGGTCAATTTTTTAATTTCATATCTGTTTTTTACGTTTACACATTACCTACCTTGACGAACATGGGAAAACGAAGGTCCTTTTCAGGACCACAAATATTTTGATTGAGAAAATTGTTAACTTTTTTTTCGATTAAAAACAAAACGTACGAAGAGACGTAGAGACGTACAAAAATTCTCCGATCTAGATATTAGAGTTCTCTCGCAACTTCTAATGCACGCACAATGTAGAATGTATCTCTTTAAAACTTATTATATTCAACAATATTTTAATATATTTCAATAAAAAAAAATACCTTTTTATTTTTATAACCATTTCATAATTTAAATAAATTCAGCGCCAGGGTGAAAAGTACAGCCCAAAATAACAATCGTAATTAAAAAAAACTGCATCTATTCATGTAGTATTTCAAGGAACTACATCATATAACTTGGTCTGTAATAAATAACAAACTAATTAAAGTCAGTATAAAATTATCGAATATAATTAAACATTATTATATTTTTAGAATTATAACTGAACACACACTACACGCACTTTTTCTTAAAAAACAAACAGGTATTCAATTAAAGAAAATCAAAGTAACAAATAGTATAACACGCTAACATTTTAGAAAAAGTAGGAATAGGCTGCATAAAATAGATTTTCTTAAAAAAAAAAAAATCTAATTTAAAAAAAACAATTTACCAAATTATTTTAGAAAGAAAAGAAAATTCTAGAAACACTAATTAAAAATGTAACACACATAATTCTTGAGAAGAATAAATAAAATATACGGGGTGTCCTTCTAATATGCTTTCATCTAGTGATATAAGTATAGTTACCTGGGCAATATTTCACTCCAAACCATACTGACATTGGCATAATTCCATGGTGAATGACGTGTAATGTATTAATGTGGTCGAACTTTTTCCTTAATACGAAAAATATCTATAAAAAAATAAAAACACAATGATAAACATATAACATACAAATTTTCTGATTTATTTTACTCACCGTATTCAAAAAATTCGGTACAAACTTCGAAAAAAAGTACCACCACGACGCGTGTACCATCTGAAAATATCAGTTATTTAGCTTAATTTTTGGCTTTAAATATATTACCGACCCTTAATTGTATAGGATTATTGAATAATCGACTGGTTTGCACACATCTAATAACTATAATCTCCTGTGAACCATCCACCCATACCAATCTAAAACAGATTCATAGTTTTATTTATTTTTTTTCCATAGCAACTGTTAAAATTGTTATATCTTATCAACAAATAGTAGATAAAATGTACTTTATCCGCAAGGGTAGATTAAATGAAAAAAAAAAAAAAAAAAAAAAAAAAAAAAAATTATTTCTTCTCGCACGTTTTTTAATTGCTTATCCATCTTTTGAAAATTTTTGTATTCCCTTTCATAAGTTATTCGGATTTTAAATGGAAGCAGTTTGGATATGGCGTTTGTCGCTTCAGCCTGAATAGCTGTTGGTAATTTACTTATTTCGTTTTGAGCCAGTTCTGGCTCCAATTCAATCAGCAATCGACACGAAAGAGAATTAAAAAATATTGACTCAAAACTGACAAAGCTGTCTCTTACAGCTTTGTTTATTTATCAAATTACATAGAAACCAACGCAAACCCAGCACAATATTTTTTCTACTCTTAATAAATTCCTTGAAATAATAATTTCTGAATATTTTTAACACGTAACACGCTATGGAAAAGAATATTGTTTTCTACACGACGATAAAATTGTATTATCGTCTCCCGAAATTAATTCACTCGCAATTTCATCGCTCGTGAATTAATCTTTTCGATCGACGATAAAATACCATTTTATCGTCTTGTATAAAAAATAACTAACTAGTTTTATTAAGTTATAAAATTATTTCACTAAACCTAAATATAACTATAAACGTTTTTAAAAATATTGTTTTATACTGGGTATATTAAATTCAGAGAAAGAAAACAGGAAAAATCCAGCAGTTTTCAAAATTTCAGCAAAAAAATATTTTTTTAATAACTCGGTTATTTTGGACTTATTTTGAAACAACGGCAAAGAGAAAATATGTTCTGAAAATATTTGCACTTATTTAAGGCTCACCATCTATATTTTTTTCAGCGGCGTGTGGTCCATGGAAGCGGGGGAAGCACCGCTTCCCTAAACTTTTTAAAGTAAAAAAAATAAATAGTTAAACGTTAATAATACTGTTATTTTATAACAAAAGATTAATTTAATTTGTTAAAATTATTTATTTGAAACCTTACATAAACGTAGTAAATTTAATTAGAATTTTACTGCATGGATGCGCGCCTGGAAATCGCTGCCAGTCGCCTATTCCTGCTTCATGTAGGTGTTATTGACCTCGAACGCAAACGACAAATTTAAGCCGGAAAATCGCGCACTGTTGCTAACCACGGCAGCGATCTTTCGACCGCCTTCCGCGACTTTTAATTTATCGGGACGGGTTCGCTTGCGATTTTATAGGTAATATTGTATTTTTTTGGATTTAACTTCGTTTTTACTGTTTCGTTTGTAATGGAGGGTCAAGAAGGATAATCTTCTGCTAGTGTGGACAATAATGTAGTCTGTGTTGTATGTGTGTTATTAAAAAAGGGATTTTCTAGTCGGAACTTCCAAGAAAAAAGTGACATTATTAAGTCTGGTAGGCCAACGGTTCCTATCAATTTAAAGACCAAGGTGGAGAGTCGGTAAAAAATTCACTAGACATTTTCATGTTTTACGACAAATATGAGTGGTTAACTAAAAATTTTAAAAGGCATGTCAATAGTAAAGGACATTTAACTGCTACTTCGATTCCCCGCCTATAATTGTCACCGCACGCCGCTGATTTTTTTGTCAGTTGTTAAACACTTATAACACTGTAAATTGTGAGACCCTAATAATATTATTTATTAATAAGTAAAAAAATATTAACTCACTTCATAAAATAGCCACGTACTAAATAAAACTTGAAATAAATTGTAATAAACTAAGGCATTTTTAAGTTGAAATGGTTTCCTATTTTCCATCAGCTTCGGCCCTAGGAGCTGTAAAGAAAATAAAAATAAAATCAGTAAATTTTCAAAATAATATAAATTTCTTGTCAAGAATACTACACGTTCTTTTTTATTTTAACCAATTTATTTCTCTAGTAGGTATACAGGGTGTCAAAAAATAGTTAACTATCTATCCTGGGGAAGCATTTTAGAGCATATGTTTCTAGGAACTTTTTGTTTTATTTTTATCTGTAAAATTAGAATTACCCACCAAAATTAGATACACTATTTTTTTTCACACCCTGTATATTGTAATTAATAAAAAATAAGAAAAATATACTCTACCTTTACTATATATACATATGAAAGACATATTCCTAATGTATAAAGTGGATTCGATACTAAAAACCAATTGGCAGTCCTTGCATCTGAAAACAACAAATTTCACAATGATATCACAATTATTATATTTTTCTGACATATTTTCGTAGTAAATTGGTAATTACTAATTATACAAAAACAATACAATTATTAAACAAATGTTATGTTGATTATATTACATTTTTTGCGTTTTATAAATTATATTTTAAATTAATGTGTTTTTTTTTATTTCAATGATTACTTTACAAATCATGAAACAAATTGGTTATTAAATTAACGATTAAAATAGTACTAATTTAGTAAATTATTAAGTTGTTTATAATAAATGGAAATTATAAATTTTTAAAAATGAATTTTAAACAATTTTCTTTACACTTTTCGATATTTTTCCACCAATTTTCTTTTAATTTGCAACCGTGACATGCAAACCATTTTTCTTTAATTAACTGCCATGACAGTTGTCATATCATATGTCAGAATATTTTTAGTATTATTCTATTGTGCACTCTCAATTGATACAAACGTTGAATAAAAAGATGTAAGAAGGATTCTAATACTATTCGTGTATTCAGGCATTTACGGAGGAACAGACATAATAAACCTTTTTTATTATGTTTTTATTTTGACTAAAAACTAAAAAAGTTTCAAGAATATATACTACCCCTAAAAATATTTGCACTTATTTACTGACTCACCCTGTATATCTTTTCTTTAATTTTCGCTTTTATTTACAACTTGTCAGAAATAACTAGGATACGCCAATTTTACTTTGGTGTTTCAGTAGCGTATCTGATATTTTTGTTATTAAATAATTATAAAAACTTATCAATTTTATTTTTATTATAAATGTATTGTTTTAACAATTTTACTTACTAGTAATATTGATTAATATTGATTGAAGTAAAACAAAACCTTCAAATTAATAAGTGTATCGTACATTAAATAAAACTAGAACGGCATTTTTATTTAAAATATTCAATTTATTTTTTTTTGATAACTTAATTAAAAATCCATTTTTTGTAAACTTTTCAGCGGGCACCGTATTCCATACTATCAAGAAAAAAAACAGCGTCACACTGGCCTTTGAAAAGATGATCAATGATCAATGATGAATTTTTATCATAGCGTTCCAGGAGACGTCTTTTTTCAAAATTGATATAAAAATATATTTTACCAATTAATATATAAATAAAAAAAAGCAATACATTTTTCAGACACAACTACCATTCACTCGTAAACTTATTAAATACAATAAATTCATTAAAAACTTTTTTTAAATAGAATTTGTCTCTTTAAATTAAAAAAATAACTTTTTTAAATTAAATATTATACAGGGTTGTTCGCCATATACGACACGGAATATTGTAGCTAAACGTTAGATTTTACAAATTGTAAGTTTGGGTTCGTTGAAGGACTATTAGAGCTACAATTTTAAAATATTTTACAAGTTACAGTCCCAAATAAATAAAAAATATCAAAAGTTGTATTTTTTTAAATAGAACACCCTGTATATTATTGCATTTTTTAGTTTCTACGATTAAAAATAAAGGTAGAATTTGATTAAGGTTTATTTTACTTAAACTTTACTGTTTTTGAAATATTTTCAATTTTGTGAAATTACGAGTAAGTATAAATTTTAAGACTTCTCATTTTCCGAGAGTATAATAGTTTTTAATACTAAATATTTACTGAAGTTTATTTATCGATCAGTTATTGTGTTGCAGTATTAAAAATTTTACTACCTTATACAGAGTGTCTAAATATTTATTTTAAATAATTATTAGCTTTAAACGGCAATAACTTGTTTAATTTAAATAGAACACCCTGTATATTTTATGAGAATCAGATGCACAATTTAATTGTCTATCAAATTGTATTAACCATTTTTTACCTATCTCTTCAAGTTTCCGTAGAAAATGCATTTTCTTGTAATTTAGAACTCATTTATCAATATACCCATAGAATACTGACATTTTAGATTATTTTTAAAGCTGTACCAAATTTTTAAAGAGTACAGATACTAATATTGTCGATATAGTTCGTTTATTTCATTAAAGAATAAAAAACTGTTCAAATATTTGTTAAAGAGGACCAATTAATATGATTCCAGTATTCAAACTACATTAATTGACTGTTTGCGTTGATTAATAATAATTGCTCCAAATACTAAAAAACTGAATTATGTATGTGTATTAGACAGCGTGGAAAAAAACTAACACCTTAAAAATGATATTTAAGTTTTTGACACATGCTTATTTATAACAGAGACGTTCATTTTCATAACTTATTATTATATTGATTTCTGATTCAAATCCACATTTATTTAGAATCATTTATTAATTAAAACAATTAAGTATGTAATTAATTAGTATTTGGGCGGAAATACTGGTGGTATATTTAATTAATGGTATACTCTTTTATAAAGATTTAAATAGTTTTCTTTTTGCATCCAAATGGGGTAGTTATATTATCGTTTTACTAAAAACGATAATATTACTAGCCTGTACATTTTGTACATTTAATCTTTTAAAAACAATCTAAAATGTCAATATTCCATGGGTATATTGATAAATGAGTTCTAAATTATAAGAAAATGCATTTTCTACGAAAACGTTAAGCGATAGGTAAAAATTGGTATAATACAATTTCATAGACAATTAAATTGTGCATCTGATTCTCAGAAAATATACAGGGTGCTCCATTTAAATTAAACAAGTTATTGCCGTTCAAAGCTAGTAATTATTTAAAATAAATTTTTAGACACTCTGTATAAGGTAGTATAATTTTTATTATTGTAACACAATAACTGATCAATAAATAAACTTCAGTAAATATTTAGTATTAAAAACTTTGATATCCTCGGAGAAGGGAAGCCTTAAAATGTATACTGCAATTTCACAAAATTGAAAATATTTCAAAAACGGTAAGGTTTAAATAAAATAAACCTTAATCAAATTTACCTTTATTTTAATCGTAGAAATTAAAAATGCAATAATATACAGGGTGTTCCATTTAAAAAAATACAACTTTTATTTTTTTTTTATTTGGGACACTCTGTATCTTGTAAAAATATTTTTAGATTGTAGCTCTAATAGTCCTTCAACGAACCCAAAACTTACAATTTCTAAAAATCTAATCGTTTAGCTACAATACTCCGTATCGTATGTGGTGAACAACCCTGTAAATATTGATTTTAATCCATTCTAATGATTTCTTTTAACAAATAACATAACATAAAAATATGAAAAAAATACAATTGATTTTTATTTGTTTGAAAGGCCACTATGAAGCCGTTTCTTTTTTTTTTTTTTGATTATGCGATGTTAGAAAAACAAAACTTTTCTTGAAAAATAAAAATGTTTCAAAAAAACTTTAGTGCCACGGTAAATTTATTATTTAATAGCATGATCTCATACCTGGTTTAAGATTGAAATATCCATATTCGTTGGTGTAACTAGCTGTATTATTTGTACTAGTCATTGTAAAAACCTGCAACAGAAAAAATACAATGTTTTACTTGTTAATAATAATTAATATTTGGTAAATCTAATAGGATATGCACAAACGATGTGACTTTCGAGAAAGTAATATTGGAAAATACATTAATGGAAATAATATACCTATTCATATCAGGTAGGTGTTGTAATATCATGTATCATAATTTGGCAAATATTCTTCAAGGAAATTATCATATAATATATGATAATTTCCCATATTTATATTATATGGAATATTTTAAGCAGATAGTGTTGTGATATTTTAAACGTTTTGTTTGTGTAAAATCCATTATTTGTTTTAAACTTCTTTAGTTGAGTAGGTGTTTTTTTTTTTCAAAAAAGTAAAAAGCCTCGATAACAACAACAAGTCAAGAGTGTCACATCATGGATCACTGAGCGATCCTTTCCTAACAAATACAAGAGTTAGGCAAAGATGTGTCTTAGCGCCTCTTCTATTCAACATCTTCATGGCAGCGCTCTCCATTATAATGGACAGCAAATTGCAGGAGAGAGGTTTGAGCATTAGATACAGATACGACAGCGGTCTGGTCAACATAAAAAGACTCAGGGCAAAAACACGTACAAAACTCATCACAGATCTTCAATACGCTGATGATTGCGCTCTAGTTGCAACAACGTTACAGCAATTACAAGAAATGTTGAACACTTATACCTGGGCATACGAGGCTTTTAAGCTAAACGTCGACAAAACTAAAATCATGTGCACTCCCCCGGAAGATCACAATAATGATATTGAAATCGGAGAAGAACTATTGGAATATGTCGCGGAATTCAATTACGTCGGCAGTTTGATTTCGGAAAAGGCCAATATCGACTCTAAAATTCAGCACAGGATTAGCAGCACCTCAAGAGCATTCTGGAAATTAAAAGAGTGTACCGAGCAATATTAATCCCCACCATGTTGTATGGGAGAGAAACCTGGGTGCCGTATGCCGTACAGAGACACCTTAGATAACTCAAGAATCAAATGGTTCCATCATGTCTCAAACGTATCGCTCCTTGAAAAAGCTAACTGCGAGAGTATTGGGGTCATGGTTACAAAATCCCGCTTAAGATGGGCTGGACACGTATGCAGAATGCAAGAAAATCGCCTACCAAAATCTCTGCTTTACGGTGAGCTTGTAGACGGTAAGAGGAGGCCAGGTGGACAACTCAAAAGGTACAAGGACATTTTCCACGAAAACTTAAAGGGGATTAACATGCAGACAGTATGTATGTATGTATGTTTTTTTTCAACAAAATGTAAGTAAAGCTCTTTCTTTCATCTGTTTAATTAAAAAAAATCAACTCTAATACAAACGGAATAAAAATCAAAATAATATTATCTTTAAAAAAACGTTCAATTCGTTATAAAAGGAAAAAACTAACTAGCTCTCATAACAGAACTAATAAAAGCAGACAACTTAATTACTTAAACCCGTCATTCTGTGTTACCACTCGGGGTAGCACCATTAAGTTCTCTAAAAATCCAAATAAATTTAAATTAATAACTGATTTAACTAACTATTCTTAATATTCGTAATATCTTTTGAGGTTAATATTCTCTAAGTTATATATTTATGAGTATTGTATTTACAATTCCAAACATATTTCTTGTTGTTACAAGTTGCTGTTACATAGTACATACTAATATTCTCAGTTTTTTTCCAACGCGTCCAATAACTATGCATACATTTATACGGTATGTTTAAAAGTTTTGACATGAATGAGAACCTAAACAAAAATAATTTCGTAAAAATTCTTATTGAGACCTTGAAGAATGATTACATCTTTAAGTAAATGGCAAAATTAATTATGACTATCGAGTTTTCTATTAATTAAAAAATTAAAATGTTTCTGGGTTGCCAAATTTTCGTAAATCTATCGTAAACTAAAAAGTATAAAGTGTAATTGAAACCATTAATTCCAATTAGTGTAATAACTAATTGAAGGTTTATAATAATGAAGCTTAAAAATATTCTCCATTTAACTATTTTTATAGGTGACGGCCCATCTTCGTCAAAACACCTATTCTCTATCGATCATCGAAGTTAAGCGACATTATGCGATGTGGATTTTGGAAGGGTAGACGTCTAAAAACCTCCATCATGCTGTACCAAGGCAAAAGACTAAGGCTTGTTGAGATGCACTGCTCATTCACGCAGGATGATATCAAATATCTCGTGAATTATTTACATTGTTTTTTTATTGACTCATTAATTTCATGGCAGGAAATAGATGTGTTAGCGCAATACAGAAAATTATTAAGAGTAAAAACATCTCTAGAAGTTTAAAAAACAGAATATACCAAACAATGATACGACCAATAGTGCTGTATGCATGTGCAACGTGGACGTTCAATGTAACGGAAAGTTCGAGGCTAGAGAATAAAAGCGAAAGACAGAAACAAATGGAGAAAGATAATCAATCAAGTCATGAGCCTTTTAGTCTTTTAGAGCTATTATATGCATATACATTGGTGGCAAAAAGTATGGAAACTTTTTTAATTTGTCATTTATGCCGAGAAATTAAAATATGAAATAAAACGACTTATATAATCGTGACCAACAAATAATTTCCTACAAAACCTAATACATTTAAATAAAAAATTACAGCTATCAAAAAATATATAAAAAATTATGAATATTTTCTTGGTCAAAAGTATGGAAACTTAAGAAGAATGTTTATTAAAATTCAAGATAATATAAAAATTACTAATATTTAGTGGAATATCCCTTTGAATTAATTACTTCTCTACATCTTCCTGGCATCGAATCAATCAATCTCGTACAATCTTTACTGGAAATGGCCGCCCATTCAGTTTTTAGCGCTTCCCATAATTCATTTTTATTTGAAATAGAATGGCTTCGAATTTTGCTATCCAAATGGTCCCATAAATTTTCTATGGGGTCAAGATCCGGAGACTGTGAGGGCCAATCCATTAGTGGAACATTATGTTCATTTAACCAATTTTGAACAAACCGAGATTTGTGCTTGGGGTCATTGTCTTGCTGGAATAACCATCTGAGTGGCATTTCTTCATCAGCATGAGGCAGCATATTATTCTCCAACATGTCTTTGTACAAAAAACGGTCACTATCCCATCAATTTTAACAAGAGGACCAACACCTGAGCGAGAAAAACACCCCCATACCATATATTCTCTATATATATATATATACATATATATATATATATATATATATATATATATATATATTTATGACCGACCATTATACTCCCACCCCCATGTTTTACTGTGGGCATCTGGTACTTATGGCTGTACCGTGTACCTTTTGGTCTTCGGACATAACGTCTCCCGTCACTACCAAACAGTTGAAACTTGCTTTCGTCGCTAAACAGTACAGTATTCCATTTCTGATAAGACCAGGTGGGATGATCTTGAGCAAATTTAAAGCGGGCCATCCTATTTTTCTTTGATATTAGTGGTTTCTTCACCGCAACTCTTCCAAAAAAAGTCCTATGTCATCCAACCTTCTTCTCACCGTGCGTGCAGACACCGATATTCCCCTTTCACCCATTTTTTCGAGAAATGTCTGTGGATGTTTTTCTTGGATCTCCCATTGATATTCTCTTCATTACTTTCATTGTCCTGTTGCACAACTTTCTTGGTCTTCCTGACTTAAAAGCTGTTGAAACGTTCCCTGTTTTATTAAATTTACGAATTATTTTCGAAACGGTGCCTTTTAAAATGTTTAAATTTTTACTTATTTGAATTTGTTTATAACCGCTCTTGTATAATTCAACTATTTTATTTTTTAAATCCGTAGAAATATTTAGACTTGGGCATGATGTTTATATTTATCTGAAGCAAATCGTACCGTTTATCAGCTTAAACTAAATAATTTTAATGTATTTATTTATGGTTTCCATACTTTTGGCCACAAGAAATCTATTGTTCTCCTACAAAAACTGCTAAACAGATTTTTTTCGCTGTGTAATTTTTGGAATACTTTTATTTGCTGATAAGCTGTTCATTTATATTCCTGAGAGTTTAAGCATAGCAATATTTTCTGTGATATTTTAAAAAGTAAAAAGTTTCCATACTTTTGGCCACCACTGTATATTATTTTATGGCGTATTTAATTTCTAAAATGATTCTCTGCCACTTTCGGTATAGTTCGGCAACGCTGTTTTTATCAGGTGACAATTTTATCGTACGATCAACGCATATCCCGATTCATAAATATATCAATCCGTCTGAGAAAACAGAACACGTAAAAATCGTGTCGTGGTATAAATATAATCAACATTATGTAATGTTTTAAAATTGTCGCGATACGAAATTCTGTAATGCTAACGATATACGTACGAGAGTGGTTATCTCGAAAAGTATTTGTTCAATGTTCGTATAAAAATTCACAGACTATCCACTTAATATTTATGTTTAAGGTTAATAATTTTATTATAGCGTAAGCTATAGTACGAGTGTTTCAGACTTGTGTGTAGATTAACTAGAAATTTTATCGATTCTAATTAAAGAAAAGTACAGTAATTAATAATAATTGTAGAAGTTAAATCACGTACCAATATCTTGAATTGGTTAAAATAATTACAAGACCAAGAAGACCATTGCAAGATCAAAACCAAGACTCGGTTGGTCTTCCAGGATCCAGTCTTGGTCTTGGGATTGCTGCAAGACAAAGAAAGACAGAACGATTGGTCAGTCAATGTCAAAGACAAAAATAATGAGATAGCAGAATGGTCGCTGACGTGTCTTCAATAAAAGTGAAACGAATTTACTTATCCACGAAGTTTTTAAGATCTAAGATAGTAACATCAGTCAGAACTGCCACTATATTTGACACGTTAGAAAGTGACTTGTCAAAAAGGATTATTTAATGAAGAAAAGTCCCAGGTAACGCGGTTTTTTGCGTGCATACGGTATTTTAGTTCTATATAAAGACGGATTCTCACGACTCGTGTACTTGGCAAACACGCCAATATTTGCGTACTTGGCAAGTATGCTATAT